TTTTCTAATAGGTCTACTACAGTGCTCTTCAAGTAGGTCTACTACAGTGCTCTTCAAGTAGGTCTACTCCACTGGTCTTCTAGTCGTATGCTCTAATATGTTTCAGTCTTAGTCTTACACATTCGTTGGTTTCATCAGGCCAGCGGGTTGAAGATAATATTTGGGTTAATTTCAGTAAACTTTTCTCATAGACTAATGTAACAGATACACTAACGAGTGTAACAACCTCAGACACTGGCCAGTGTAACAACCTCAGACACTGACCAGTGCAACAACCTCAGACACTGACTGGTGTAACAACCTCAGACACTGACCAGTGTAACAACCTCAGACACTGATCAGTGTAACAACGTCAGACACTGACCGGTGTAACAACCTCAGACACTGATCAGTGTAACAACGTCAGACACTGACCGGTGTAACAACCTCAGACACTGATCAGTGTAACAACCTCAGACACTGACCAGTGCAACAACCTCAGACACTGACCAGTGTAACAACCTCAGACACTGACCAGTGTAACAACCTCAGACACTGACCAGTGTAACAACCTCAGGCACGGCCCAGTGTTACAACCTCAGACATGGCCCAGTGTAACAACCTCAGACACTGCCCAGTGTAACAACCTCAGACACTGACCTGTGTAACAACCTCATACACTGACCAGTGTAACAAACTCAGACACTGACCTGTGTAACAACCTCATACACTGACCAATGTGAAAACCTCAGACACTGATGAGTGTAGCAACCTCAGTCACTGACCAGTGTAACAACCTCAGATCACTGACCAGTCTAACAACCTCAGACAATGACCAGTGTAACAACCTCAGACACTGACCAGTCTAACAACCTCAGACACGGCCCAGTGTAACAACCTCAGACACGGCCCAGTGTAACAACCTCAGACACTGCCCAGTGTAACAACCTCAGACACTGACCTGTGTAACAACCTCATACACTGACCAGTGTAACAACCTCAGACACTGACCAGTGTAACAACTGCAGACACTGACCTGTGCAACAACCTCAGACACTGACCATTGTAACAACCTCAGACACTGACGAGTGTAACAACCTCAGACACTGACCAGTGTAACAACTTTAGACACTGACCAGTGTAACAACCTCAGACACTGACCTGTGTAACAACTTCAGACACTGACCTGTGTAACAACCTCATACACTGACCTGTGCAATAACCTCAGACACTGACCATTGTAACAACCTCAGACACTGATCAGTGTAACAACTTCAGACACTGACTGGTGTAACAACCTCAGACACTGACCGGTGTATCAACCTCAGACACTGACCAATGTAACAGCCTCAGACACTGACCAATGTAACAGCCTCAGACACTGATCAGTGTAGCAACCTCAGACACTGACCGGTGTAACAACCTCAGACACTGACTGGTGTAACAACCCCAGACACTGATCAGTGTAACAACCTCAGACACTGACCAGTGTAACAACCTCAGACACTGACCAGTGTAACAACCTCAGATGCTGACCAGTGTAACAGTGTCAGACACTGACCAGTGTGAAAACCTCAGACACTGATGAGTGTAACAACCTCAGACACTGACCAGTGTAATAACCTCAGATCACTGACCAGTGTAACAACCTCAGACACTGCCCAGTGTAACAACCTCAGACACTGTCCAGTGTAACAACCTCACACACTATCCATTGTAACAACCTCAGACACTGACCTGTGTAACAACCTCATACACTGACCAGTGTAACAACCTCAGACACAGACCAGTGTAACAACCTCAGATGCAGACCATTGTAACAACCTCAGACACAGACCAGTGTAACAACCTCAGACACAGACCAGTGTAACAACTGCAGACACTGACCTGTGCAACAACCTCAGACACTGACCATTGTAACAACCTCAGACACTGATCAGTGTAACAACCTCAGACACTGACCAGTGTAACAACCTCAGACACTGACCAGTGTAACAACCTCAGACACTGACCAATGTAACAACCTCAGACACTGACCAGTGTAACAACCTCAGGCACTGGCAATTGTAACAACCTCAGACACTGACCAGTGTAACAACCTCAGACACTGACCTGTGTAACAACCTCATACACTGACCAGTGTAACAACCTCAGACACTGACCTGTGCAATAACCTTAGACACTGACCATTGTAACAACCTCAGACGTTAACCAGTGTAACAACCTCAGACATGGACCTATGTAACAACCTCAGACACTAGTCAGTGTAACAGCCTCAGACACTGACCAGTTGTTACAAAAAATGCCATTTCTAATAAGCATAGAGATCTCCAGTGAATACTAGAAAGGACTGCCCTTCTAGCATCCAGCCTGTTACTGGGTTTTTGTAACAAGTAGTCAGTATCCTGGTCCAATTATCCATTAGAATTCAGTAAGATTCAGTAGTGCTTCAGGATTACAACTGGTAGGCTACTAACTAAAGAAATTAAAATTTCATAAGTTTATTAATAATAAAATTGTCTAGGCGTATATTATCAAAGTAAAAGTAATGAAAAAAATATAGGATACAAGCTCCTACACTTCTCTCGTGTACAGTAGTATTGTGCTGAAGGCACATATCACATAAGTATGGCTTTTAAGTACTGACTGGTACATTGTTAGCATTTAATAACATACACACAAACTTACTTGTATATATTTGTATTATGTGTGTAAGTGCTCTAAGTAGTTCGCTATGTCTCAAGAATCGACTAGACTTAACCAGTGACTGACTAAAAGTCCTCACATAAACTAACTTCTTGACCAACCTGGCAATCAGAACAGCTTGCTTGAACAATAAAACAACTGATAAGCCAAACAGCAATATAACAAGCAACAGCGACACAGAATCAGGAACAAGGAGATAATATAATGACACTAAGTAGGGACCATCTGCAGATCCTCCACAAAAGTCACAAAACTCCCATACTACTGAATCTAAGTTCAGCATTAGAAAATCCCCGACTATGACAGTACACAGATACCAGTACAAATTAGGTCAGAAGCTACAGCTCTGGACCTGAGTTTCTCAGAGTGTCTATGCGAAACACAACCTCAGTACAACGTCGAAAATCACTAAGTCTAGGCTATGTCCTGTGAACAGAGTTACGCAGAATCAAAAACAAGAAAGCGACAGAGACGTTCTTCCAATAAGGGCTAGCAAGAAAGACACGTCTTGTCGGAAGCCAAGCCAAAACAGAAAAGAGGACGAGTCAAAGCAAGACAGTCTCACCCAGGTGAGGTGTGATCACCCCCCCCCCTGATCACGTGACTCTCCATGGACTGCTGCTGCCCAGCAACACAGAGAAGCCAGCAGCATAACGAGCAACGAGAGATAATTACAGTAGTTAGACAATCAAGACTTGAACTATGAGCACTGAATAATATATATAAATGTTACATCCTACCTAATAATATAACTAAGTCAAATAATAATATAAAGCAATATATTTACGATTTAGCTATTATCGCAAATATAAGCAATATAAAATTATATGAACAGGTAATATACATTATATACATTGTGACCCAGTTTTATAAAGTTTTTCTTCTTCTCTTTTTTAGTAATTGTATACAGGAGAAGGGGTTACTAGCCCATTGCTCCCGGCATCTTAGTCGCCTCATACGACACGCATGGCTTACGGAGGAAAGATTCTTTTCCACTTCCCCATGGACAATAGAAGAAATAAAAAAGAACAAGAGCTATTTAGAAAATGGAGAAAAACCTAGATGTATGTATATATATATATGCATGTGCGTGTCTGTGAAGTGTGACCAAAGTGTAAGTAGGAGTAGCAAGATATCCCTGTTATCTTAGCGTGTTTATGAGACAGAAAAAGAAACCAGCAATCCTACCATCATGCAAAACAGTTACAGGTTTTTGTTTCACAGTCATCTGGCAGGACGGTAGTACTTCCCTGGGTGGTTGCTGTCTACCAACCGTGTTTGATAGGAGTGAATGGAGACAAATGGTTTTTAATACTTGACGTGCTGTTGGAGTGTGAGCAAAGTAACATTTATGAAGGGATTCAGGGAAACCGGCAGGCCGGACTTGAGTCCTGGAGATGGGAAGTACAGTGCCTGCACTCTGAAGGAGGGGTGTTAATGTTGCAGTTTAAAAACTGTAGTGTAAAGCACCCTTCTGGCAAGACAGTGATGGAGTGAATGATGGTGAAAGTTTTTCTTTTTCGGGCCACCCTGCCTTGGTGGGAATCGGCCGGTGTGATAATAAATAAAATAAACATTGTGACCCATTCAGGGGTCGCAATACCAGTGTAACAACCTCAGACACTGACCAGTGTAACAACCTCAGGCACTGACCAGTGTAACAACCTCAGACACTGACCTGTGTAACAGCCTCAGACACTGACCAGTGTAACAACCTCAGACACTGACGAGTGTAACAACCTCACACACTGACCACTTTAGCAGCCTCTAACACACTGACCAATTTAACAACCTCAGACACAGACAACTATTTACCTTTCACTTTCAAACGCCTGGCTTAAGACTTGATCATGTGGGCTATGATTACTTGAACCATTTCTAAATATTAAGAGATAAAGTAGCTTTAGACATTGTTCAGTCTGTGTTTTAGACTTAAAAAAGTTTATATTGCATCACTTAGAGAAGCAGTTCCTAAACTGTTTTGTCAATGACCCAAAATTTGAAATAGCATTTTCTTTAGAACCCATAGTAAGATTAACATAGAGCATAATTTTAAACAGCATAGTAAGATTAACATAGAGCATAATTTTAAAGATAACATTTGGGAAAATGTTATTGACACTAAGTGTCTTGCAGTGTCAGAACCAGAGTTACAGGGTCATGATTGGGTTAAGGAACTTAAGTTAAACTGTCCATTCTTCTCATATACTGATATTTCCATCTCAGTTATTTTAAATAATGTATTTGCTATGCTTAATTATAGTACACAGATACTTGTCAATGACAAAATGTTTATGACATCTATTTGAATTTAGGTGAAGGAAATGGATGTTTGTGTTGAGTCTGACACCATTATAACAGTGAGAGCATCCAGGACCAAGGCTTCTTCCATGTACTACCAGCTGCAGCATCTCAAACAACACATTATTAAAGTTATCATTAAGGGTTTGCCTTCAGTCAACCGTGCAGTTATTAATCAAGTAAGTAGTGTATAATGTATGATCACATAACACTATCATTCAGCAAAAGCATTTGTATTTATCTCACTGTCTAAATACATATTTCCATTCATTTTTTATGATTAGCTCTGAAACACTGTAAAACTACTTTTCAGGAAAATTCTCCTTGCATATACAATGTGAATTTGAGTGGCCCACAAAAATGAAAGCTTGTAATTTTATTGTTTTACCCCTTCAGCATTAGGTTGAAATTTTTGGGGGTTCATTTAAGGGTGTTTCAAAGACCTTCAACTTTCACATCCTTGAAACAGTGAGATAAAGCATTGGAAAGGAATTGTAGTTTATTTTATGAAGAAAATGAGAAAAATGGCAAAGAGCTTATATTAATTTAAGGTGAAAGGTAGCAGGAATGGTTGGAGGGAGGGGAATAAATTGGCTTTTAGTTTTAGGGGCTTGAGCATCCAGCAGGTTTGTGTGTGTTAGAAGTGAATGGAGACAAGTTGTTTTTAATGGATTTATTGTTGGAATGTGAGCAAGGTAACCTGTATGATGGAATGCAGGGGAAACATTAGCCAGACTTGAGTCCTGAAGGTGGAAGTACAATACCTACACTCTGAAGGAGTGGCAGGAATGTTGCAGTAAGAGGGTAATCTGAACTGTCATGTTGGCACACTACTGCAAAGACAATAATGAATGACTGAAGATGAATGTGTTTTCATCGTTAGGTCACCTTGAGGTTAAAATTGATAGTGAAAGATTGGATATTAGATTGGAGGAAGTGAATGTGTTCATGTATTTGGGAGTGGACTTGCCAGTAGATAGATCCATGAAAGACATGGTGATCCTGTTAAGTCAAGGGCCATGTCTATAGGCCTGTTTTGGCCTCTTTCTGTAACAAGATGTCGAATCAAGCTCTGGTCTAGTTGTCCTTAGATAATTGTCATTTTAATATGGGGATTATTATTAGGAGACTGATCCGACTAAATAAAATGTGATCTTTATTACAAAAGATTTTATATAAAACTTAGTACAGTGGTCCCTTGTTTATCGTCCTTAATCCGTTCCTGGAAGTGGGACTGTTATCGAAATAGAAGATTTTTTAATCAATTTTCCCCATAAGAAATAATGTAAATACAATTAATCCATTCCTGATACCCAGAAGTATTAAATCAAAAAATTTTTTTACATGAAATATACATGTAGTACATAAACAATACAATGGGAGCTGATGAATGAAACATTAACAGCATAACACTTACCTTTATTGGAGATTCTTCTTAGTGTATGGAAGACTGAAGGAGAGAGATTGCATTATTTACTGTTTGGAAGGGGAATCCCCTTCCATCAACACCTCAGGTACCAAGTGCTTTTCTGGGGTTACTTCTCTTCTCTGTTTCTTAATGCCACTAGGACCAGCTTGAGAGTCACTGGAGTCTTGTGTCACAAAAAAAAACTGTCCAGAGAGTTCTGTTTCTGGCATCTCTTTAAAACTTCCCTAAAATGGGCCAAGACTCTGTCACTGTACAAGTTGTGTACGAATGGTATATAATACCGACAAGATGAGATTAAGACACATGTGCAACATCTGGGTATCTTTATTGTAGACGTTTCGCCATCCAGTGGCTTTATCAATACAAATTCTAGGACATAACTTGAAGACAGTAGAACTATGTACAGAAGATGAGGTAATCAGTCCCTCAACCTAGGAGTAGGTGCGAAGAGCACCATAGTCGTGGTGCTCTTCGCACCTACTCCTAGGTTGAGGGACTGATTACCTCATCTTCTGTACATAGTTCTACTGTCTTCAAGTTATGTCCTAGAATTTGTATTGATAAAGCCACTGGATGGCGAAACGTCTACAATAAAGATACCCAGATGTTGCACATGTGTCTTAATCTCACTGTACAAGTTGCTGATATGGCTTGCAACATCCTTCTCAGGGTGATGTTTCTCCATAAATCTTTCCATCCTGCCCCACATTTCAAAATTCTCCTTAATTTCTGAAGAAGGCACCTTCTTCCATCTCTCTTCCTCCTCCTCTTCAGCAAGATTCTGAGCTGCAATCTGTTGCTCTTCCTGATGAAGCTCTTGCAGCTCCTCAGTGGTTAGCTCTTTGTTGTGGCCCTCCACCAACTCTTCCACATCCTCCAAACTCACATCCAACCCCATGGAACTCCCCAATGCCACAATAGAGTTCACAACTGACATAGGCTCATCAGGGGCTACCTCAAGCCCTTCAAAATCCCTTTTGTGGACACAATCTGACCACAAGTTTCTCCAAGCAAAGTTCAAAGTCCTGGTAGTCACTCCCTCCCAAGCCTTACCTATAAGGCTTATGCAATGGAGAATACTGAAGTGTTCTTTCCAAAAATCTCTTAGGGTCAAGTGAGTGTCTGAGGTCATATTAAAGCACCTTTGAAACATTGCTTTGGTGTAGAGTTTGAAATGACCTGCTGGTCCATGGGCTGGAGGAGAGGAGTGGTATTTGGGGGCAAGAACTTTACTGTGATGAACCCAAACTCCTTCAGAATTAGGTCATCCAAGTTTGGAGGATGAGCAGGTGCATTGTCCATTACTAGGAGGCACTTGAGATCCAATTTCTTTTCCAGGAGGTAATTCTTCACACTAGGGCCAAACACTTCATTGAACCACTTGACAAAAATTTCCCTTGTGACCCATGCTTTATTATTACATCTTCAAAACACACACAATTTACTCTTCATAACATTGTTTTTCTTGAACACACTGGGATTTTCAGAATGGTACACTAGTAATGGGTTCACTTTGAAATCCCCACTAGCATTAGCACAGAACATGAGTGTCAGCCTGTCTTTCATAGGCTTGTGTCCTGGCAGTGCCTTTTCCTCCTGAGTAATGTAGGTCCTCTGGCATTTTCTTCCAAAAGAGGCCTGTTTTGTCACAGTTGAACACTTGTTCAGGTTTCAGTCCTTCAGCCTCTATGTACTCCTTGAATTCCTGCACATATTTTTCAGCCGCTTTTTGGTCCGAACTGGCAGCCTCCCCATGCCTTATCACACTGTGTATGCCAATACGCTTCTTAAATCTCTTAAACCAGCCTTTGCTGGCCTTAAATTCACTCACATCACCACTAGTTGCAGGCAATTTCTTTACCAAATCGTCATGCAGCTGCCTAGCCTTTCCACAAATAATCGACGCCATAAGACTATTTCCTGCTAATTATTTCTCGTTTATCCACACCAATAATAACTTCTCAACCTCTTCGAGTACTGGTGATCTCATTTTTGTCAGCATATTTACCCCCTTTGCAACAACAGCTTCCTTGATTTTCTTTTTCTTGGCCATGATAGAAGATATGGCTGTACAGGATTTGTTATACATTGTGGCCAGTTCGCCCACACGTACGCCACTTTCATATTGTTCAATGATGTTTTTCTTAAATTCGATCGTATTTCTCACCTTCTTTACCAAAGGCTTGGCACTAGGAGCTTTCTTTGGAGCCATGGTAGCTTATTTAGCACTAGCAAGCACTAAAATGAATGGAATATTATGAAATACAGTGGACCCCCGGTTAACGATATTTTTTCACTCCAGAAGTATGTTCAGGTGCCAGTACTGACCGAATTTGTTCCCATAAGGAATATTGTGAAGTAGATTAGTCCATTTCAGACCCCCAAACATACACGTACAAACGCACTTACATAAATACACTTACATAATTGGTCGCATTTGGAGGTGATCGTTATGCGGGGGTCTACTGTATTTCGTATGAACAAGTGAGGGGACCGTCGCTCACTGGTAAACAATGGCACACTGGCTGGGAAGGGAGGCCGAGTCGGCTCAGAGCCTTGAGTACGCATCCAGGACGAAAGACGATTAGCGAGTCAACGGACCATTTGCGAACCAATGTTTGGACAAAATAACGCGACAATTTCCAAAAAGGACGACTATTGAGCTGGACTATTATCGAGGGACCACTGTATATGATGCAAAGTTCTCCCTCTCTTGCAGTGTTATACATAAAAGTGCACTTTGTCTGGGACTAAGTAATAATCTAGAGAAGGGAAATGTATTAAAGGCTGAGCACCTGAATCTGCTCAGAAGAGAAGGTGCTGCAGCACGAGACAATACGGCGAGAAAACTGTCATTTTCAAAGCATGTCCTGGGGTTCTGACAAGCCGCTCCTCTATGCCTCCTCTCAGCTGAGCAACAACACAAGTTGCTGAAGCAACAGCTCAGTAACAGACAGAAAGACAATCCCTGACTCACACGAGTCAAACAGTACGAGAAAGCACATGTCGCTTGCCATAAGTGCCTCTGACAAGTCCGATTCAGGCAGTGACTTCTCCGATATGAACATCCTGTCAAGAGCACTGTTAATGTCTCAAGCGACAGTAGTTTGATCATTCCTTTACTACTCCTGTAGGCAAATTTCATTGAAGAATTCTGTCGTGTTACCTGTGACTGAGGGCATCGGCAGTGACTAACATCTCGCCTGTAAGTGTAGAATCACCTAAGGTTGTAGCGTGATCCGTGACTGTAGTGTGTCACCCGTGACTGTAGCATCAGCATTGACAAATGCCTCACCTTCGACCATTACTCATCACGTAGGTCAGTGATGATAATCTCACACCACACTATTTCCATAAAAGTTTAAACAAATATAAGTCTTGTTTCTCATCTTAGTCTTCGACATCTGCAAGTGACAATAAAACCAATGAGACCAACAGCACTACAAAGATTTCTATACTATATAGAAATCACACAAAGAGGCACCAGCAGTATCAGCTAGAGCAGTAACTGAACCAGCAATGCCAACAAGGCAACAGAACAGATTAATGAAATCCACATTATCATGAAGCGAACATCATGGAACCAGAGTAGGTTCTGTTCCTAAATGTCATCACTTAACTTGTATCCCTTTAATATACCTGCTACGACGATATGCTTCATCCCAGGACAGCAGTGACTCACCGAAAATGACTGAAATTCTAGGTCTTACTAGAGAGGCAAACAGCAGCACCAACCCTGCTAGCTCCTGTTGTGTGGATGCTCTTGGCAGCTCCGACACC